CCCATTCAAGCTGTCTCCAACCATTATAAGGTAAAGAGAAGTTCCTACAAAACAAAACGTCTTATTTTCAGGAGGTTAATATTAATAGTATTGTTTTACTTGGAGTATATTATAGTATGTTGTGACTATGATTTATAAATGTTATAAAATGTATGTGAAGATATTAGCATTTTAAATGTTAATAACAATATCACTGTTTTTTCTTATTCAATTATAATATTTGTATGATATACAGGGGTGGATTAACTTTACTTGGGGCCTAAGGCTAATTTTATTTTGGTGCTCCTTTTCTATAGACTTTTATTAACAAAATATACATGCACAGTACATAGTACATTTATGCAATTTACACGTAGAATGCTTAAGCTAATTGAGAAACAAACATAAAAGAACCTTAACACAAAACAGTATAAAATAAATCAAATATTGACAATTAGAAAATAAAATCAAAACTAATACATATATCTAATATATTTTATGATTATTTTACATTTGATATTTTATTATTATATTCCCTATATATTTATGTGGATTTTTTTATGAGCTGACTGGGTCCTGAGGCTTCATCGTCAATGATAATCTGCCTCTGATATTATACATATTAAGTATAACAAGTATGCATGTCATAAAGATGTAGATGTATATTATAATTTCAAAATATTAAGGTACAATATATTTTCTAAGTGAATTGAATAATATAGTGAAACACATAATATCAATGTCTCTTTAGATGATTCTTCAGACTGTATACAGTGTTTAAAATTTGTGCAAAAACTTTTATATGTAATGTTAAAAAACAGGACTCTGTAGAATTTATATTTATGCAAATTATAAGGTACAATTCCCACACGTTTATAGTTAAATGCACATCTATTTAGTAGATCTAATAACATGAATACAAAAACTGGTATATATATATGTATGTATATATATATGTGTGTGTATATGAAACTGCTTACAAAGTTGTTGATGTTTCTCTCTTTCACTAACTGCTATTCACCAGTCCTCTTTCACTTTTTATGGCTCCATCTTATAAGCTTTTGGCTTTCTGTTTTGCTATAATGCTGTATACATACAAAAATGTGCAAGAGATTCAGTTTATATATTTCATAACATTTGAGTGTAGTGTATTGTATAGGCACAGATTGTGCTTGCATTGCACAGTTTGAAATACTGGAGCATTTAATGTGTGTTAGAATTTAGTAAACAACTAGAAAAGAAGTTATACTTTTATCAGCATCTCCTTCATGTATACAAATCTATTGGAAATGATAGAATTTATCCACTAACTAGTCATTCCTAAAGAAATTAGTTAACTTTTGCCCATGATTAAAATGATGGCACGATTATAAACATTTTGTTAAGTGTATTTAGTCACATTTAATTAGTAATTTAGTTTTATCAGAGAAAGACCATATTATAACCTAAAATGTCTATTTCAGATCCGTGAACTTAGAATAAATAGCAACTTATGATTGCATGTACTCTCCTGAATTCATGCTAGCCATTCTTTATAGCTTATTGACTTTCAGAAAACCAGGGAAATAGTTTTGAAAAGTTGAAATCCAGTTTTAAAAATAATACATAAAAAATCTTAATGTGCTGTGAGGTTAAGTAACTGAGATTTGAAACAGGTCAAGGTAATTTACATTCAACTAATAACATTGTTTTCAGTTTTATTAAGTTATCATAAGGTTACAAAAATAACATAATTAAGTTTTTCAAGTACACATAGTTGTTTCTAAAGGTTAAAGGCATTAAACAGCTTTAACTACCACATTCGTCCCCTCTCGTAAACAAGGTCCAGTCTTAGACCTTATTTCAAGATCGTAAGATTATTTTAGTTGGGCAGCAGTTTTCATGTTATTAATTCCATTTTTGCATCTCCCATGAGTAGGATCAAACACAAAATCTCTCATGCACTAAGCAGGTGCACTACCAACTGATCTAAGGGGTTTACCCACTAGAAATTCCTAATCAGCACTTCTTAACACTTTCAAATCCCAAAACTATAGCAGTGTACTACTTTTGTCACATTTAGTTCTTATTAGTTTTGTTCTTAGCACTTGGATATGATATCTAAACAAATGTTGCTTAAATGTGCACTAACATTCTGTTCTACTCACTCCAGCAATGTTGTATGTTTGGAAAGACCAGATATTGAAGAACAAAGATCTCAACTCATCAAAGACATTGCAGAAGACAAAGCTCAACTGAAGAGTTTAGAAGACAAAGTTCTACAATTGCTCTTCACGTCAAAAGGAAATATTCTTGATGATGAAGAACTGATTGCCTCTTTAAATGAATCAAAAGTAATTTATTTTTTGAGGTTCACGTATACTATTGAATTCTTTTTTATCCTTCTTGTTGAAGAACAAAGTTATTACATTCTGTAAACAACAAGTGTGCCTTTGAAAAATATTTAATTAATTTTACACGTACTTGGTGAATGTAATAACTATAACTTAATTTTTGATTCATTTAGCTCCTCATTCTTAATTTTAAGCTGTTTTATTTGAGGCATACCCAACAACTTTCTCTGTAATGCATCTAATTGAGTGTAACGTATTGGGCTGTGGAATAAGCTTAAGGCTACTCTTTCTTTATTAGTTTACCATGCTCTATTTTTCTATGATTATTTGGGCTTGTTTATTCATTTTGGTAGGTGAGTAAGGATATCAAACATTTTTAATATAAAAATATATTGATACTTATGATCTTGGACTTTAGATTTGAAGTGTGGTCATGTGGAGTCTAGATACATAGAATTTATGTGTGTAGAGTCTAGACCCATGAAATTTAGACACATGGATTCTAGACCCATAGAAGGTAAGCATATGGGATGTAGACTCATGGAATGAATACATATGAAGTGTAGGTCCATAGAATCTAGAGACATAGAATCAAGACATATGGAGTCTAGACGCATCTAGTCTAGAGCCATAGAAGGTAAACATATGGGATGTAGACTCATGGAATGAATACATATGAAGTGTAGGTCCATAGAATCTAGAGACATAGAATCAAGACATATGGAGTCTATACACATAAAATCTAAACACATCTAGTCTAGAGCCATAAAAGGTAGTTATATGGGGTGTAGACTCATGAAACAAATACATGTGAATTGTAGGTCCATAGAATCAAGACATGTGGAGTCTATGAGCATAGAATCTAGACATGTCTAGTCTAGACCCATAGATTTTAGACATGTGAAGCATAGACACAGAATCTAAACATGTCTAGTCTAGACTCATAGAATATAGGCACATAGAATATATACATGTGGAGTCTAGATCCATAGCATGAAGACACTCAGAATCTAGATCAACAGAATGTAGATGTGTCTAGTTTAGACTCATATAATGTAGACACACAGACCATACACATGTTGAGTCTAGCATGTGTATAGAGTTCATGTAACTAGATTCTGTACGCTTAGTCTATGTCTACATGTGACTATACTCTGTGTCTAGATTCCACTGATCTAGACAAAACATGTGTATATTCTGTGTGTCCTGTGTGTCTACATTCTATAGGTCTAGATTCTACATCTTCATTCTATGGATCTAGACTCAACATGTGTATATTCTGTGTGTCTACATACTATGAGCCTAAACTAAACATGTTTACATTGTATAGGTCTAGATTCTACATGTTTTCATTCTGTGGATAATCTAGTCACATGAACTCTATAAACATGAAATCTAGGCATATGGAGTCAAGAGATGGAAATAATTAATAAGACCTAAATCTCACATGAAATATGCTAATGTAATATGCTTTCTATATCTGTTTGAACTGGTTTACTAGTTATATTTTTTATGTGTTTTTTTCCTTATAGCCACCTTATCTAGATAAAGTTTATTGAGTATATACTAATAGCGAGTAATATTAGAAAAGAGACAATGTCTCTTTTTTTTTTTACATTTCTTGTTAGTTCTGTAAAATGCTGTTGCAACTTTCAAACAATATTGGGTTTGATACCCAAGGATTGGATTTATCACCATATATTTAGAATCAAAGTAACTTTTAGTACAAAAATAAATGGTGTACATCATATAATAACTCTTTGTACCTGAGTAAACTAGTAAAACTGACAAATGTTACCGTGGAATACACGCACCTCAGGGAATTTGTTTCCAAAAGAGCCTTCAAAACTTGTATTGCAATTGCATCACAATATGCAGTTACACCCATTTCACTTTCTCTTTTAATTATTACTTTAGTTTACTATTGTCATATCAAGTTAAGAGTTTATCAGATTACTAAAAATAATTGCATCAAAATGTAACAGCTTAGAACACAGTTTGTACAAGTACCAGATGTTGTAACATTATTATTTTCATTGTTAATATATTACAAGCAAAGGAAAAACTGTTAAAATAAGCGGAATAAGTTAAATATATAGAATATTTTAAATTGATATCAGATGACCTCAACTACAATTACAACCAGACTTTTGGAGGCTCAGCTTACAGAAGAAAATATATCTAAGGCCAGAGAAAAGTATCGGCCTGTTGCAGCTAGAGGCTCAGTAATGTACTTTGCTGTAGCTGGTATGGCTGAAATTGATCCTATGTATCAGTATTCACTGAAATATTTTAGTCAGGTAAGTAAATGTAGTACAGGTTTAAACCAAAAATAATTTGGTAGAATCTTGTCAGTTTTAATTCTTAAGGTAGAGTTAAAAATAATTTGAATAGAAAAAACAACAAACAAAAGTCATGAATATATATATATATATCATATTGCCCCTAATTAATGCTCCCTCTCTAATTATCCCCCCTATATTTTTATAAATCTTACCTTGTGTGACAGCAATAGCAATCCAACATATAATCCACTTTTATTACCATAATTTTTATTTAAAATAAAAAAAGAAGAAAACAAACACACTTATTAGAATTGAAATCAACAAACATATGTGAAAAATAGAATCTGTAGAAGCACAAATACTATAATTAGTGCCCCCCCTTTGCAGTTTACAATGCCCCCAAGGAGCATTAATTAATTAATTAGTCATACGATATATGACTTCATCTAGAACTTTAGATCATTTCGAATATAAAAAATACTAAGTATATAAATTTGCTTTTTATGGGACAATATGATGTGTAAATAAGTAATAACATTTTAGTGAATGGATACTATGAGTATTCTGTTTTTTATAGATAATGATATGAAGAATTTCAAAGCATTCAAGCTTCTTCACAGTGGTGTAATAGTATTTGTATAAATATTAGCATTCATATGTTCATGAAACTAGGAAAACACTAGAAGCAAAAAGTAAATAGATTAAAATTTAAGAAACCAGGTAACCCAAGCACTTTTGAGGGAGACATTCCTTCTTAAATCTTGCAGTAATGTTTTATAATTTAAAGTAAGTTGAATTGTCAGTTGTAGAATCTGGATGGAGGAGAATATATGTATTCAATGTAGTGTTATTTCTTATGACTTATTATTATGACTTTTTTTATTCTAACAGATAAACGTTTTTTTGCCATCTAGCTTTTTAGTCAGTGTATAGAAAATACAGAGAAGCATGAGGATTTGAATGTTCACATCAGAACCTTACTTCAAAACACTGCCTTATCTGTTTATATCAATGTCTCTAGGTTTGTTTCACAGTGTCTTTTTTACATCCAAGAAATTAGTTTATTTTTTTATATATACATGAACATTCTTTCTGAATAACTGTTGTTTAGTTGCTAAGAGTATGTTTCTTGTGGTTATCAGAGTTTTCAAAATGAGTTAAAGAATTTTGAAGCTCAGATTCACCATGAATATGTTGTAATTTATTATTCTTGACACTATATTATAAATTTTTTTAGCAAAACACAATTGACGATTGACTAGCCAGCTTGCTAATCAGTGCTTAGAAATCCATTAACAGTTTGAAATTCTTTGATCAGTTTGAAATCTGACATGTTAAGGGGTTACACCTCAGTTTTTTTTTGGGGTAATATTATTTATTGATGCTCAGAAATACAGTTGATTTCAATACATAGGTATTTTTACATGTTATTTACTTGTTATATAGTTTTTAATGTTTGTTTTTGTTTTTATAAGCAAAACCATTTTAGTGTGAAATTTAGTGTTAACTTTTATTGTGTGTTAACCCTTCGTGATTTTGTGTAATTGTGGAATACCTTAACACATTTACACTACTTTATTTCATTTATATTAATACTTTCATGCT